CAACAAGAAAATATTTCTTTAAAAAAGAAATAATGTTTCGTTCCAATATAATTATAGAAATACCAGACGTCTGTAATTAGCGGTTGTGACCATAGATCACTTGTATATGTCGAGCAATGAAATTGGTTCATTTTGTGAGGCGGGCGGGTTCTGGTAATTTTTTGCACGTATTAGTATAAATTTTCATTACCTGGAGGGGCCGAGCGGTCCAGAAATACAGTAGTAGTATTTAAAATGAAGAAAAACAAAGAAAACTATATAATAAATATATACCGCTGTTGGCGCTTGAATACTTCAAATATAAATCATCGTGCCTGTAGACACAGAATGGATCTTGTCTAAAAGTACACACGAGTGACCACGAGTGACCACGAATGACCACGAATGACCACGAGTGATTTCTGTGTTTAAAAGTCATAAAATAATAATAAAAAACTATTTTAAGGTGGCTCCATAGGGTTTTTGCATTATACTACACTTTTGTATCCAGAAAACTCCTGTTTCTTCACTTTACATGACACGAAGACGAAATTTATTGGACACATTGACAATGCTCTCCTGAATATTGCAATGCGCTACTTTTGCGCAGAAAGTCTGTTACCATGGCAACAGCGTGCTTAGGATAAGGCTCAAAATTGGTCTTTTTTCGGCCATTTTAAAAATCCTTTCGGGAAATTTATTTTAGTTTTTCGACTATTGTACACGTCAGCCTACAGGAACATAGCAAAGCATCTGAAGTTGGGGGGGGGGGGTGTCAGAGGCTAGGATTTTACCTGAAATTTGAATTTTCAATTAATAAATATTTACCTAAAGTGTAATAATTATAATAAAGCTTCTTGTGATAATGACTTGCACTGTCATACTAAGTTTCGGGAGAAAACGGGGGGTTGGGGGTCCTACCCCCCAAGAAATTGTTCCATTTTTGAAGCTCTAGGACTGCAATTCTGGCGTTTTCTAAAGCAAATTCGCAAACAAATTGGATGTAAATTGACTGTATATTTTACAATATGGTTATCATTTCACACAAATAATTTCTTTATCACGCAAATTTTACCTGATAATATCAAAATTTTAACTGGAATTTTACCGGATTTTTGTCTGAGTTTCACAGTTGGGGGGTGGGGGTTACACGTCACATCTCGCAAAAAATGCCCAAATTAAACCTAAATTTCACCCTTTTCCTTCGGTAAATTGTTTTAAAACTTTGCACATTTCTTAATATCGGCTAAACAAGCTCAATATCCTTTTTTCTTAAAATTTTATTGCAGGGAATAATCTAAGTAACGTTCCATAGAATTTTTTAAAATTGAAGAAAAAAATCATTATACGAGAAAGATCTTTTATCCAAATGTTTAAAACGGCCGGAAAAAGACAAATTTTGAGCTTCATTATCCTAAGCGCGCTGTCACCATGGTAACGGACTTTCAGCGCAAAAGTAGTAAATTGCAATGTTCAGGAGAGCATTGTCAATGTGTCCAATAAATTTCGTCTTCGTGTCATGTAAAGTGAAGAAACAGGAGTTTTCTGGATACAAAAGTGTAGTATAATGCAAAAACCCTATAGAGCCACCTTAAAATAGTTTTTATAATTATTTTATGACTTTTAAACACAGTGGTCATTCGTGGTCACTCGTGGTCACTTGTGTGTACTTTTAGACAAGACCCTTACAGACAGACATATTAAATATACATTCAGTAGCAGCACGCAAATTGCTATAAATAGCAACGTTACAGTCTAGTAATATAATATGATGATGTGCTTTTGTTGTAAGTAGGCCTATCACTAAAATATCTTGAAAATGCTTCTAAACGTTTCTTTATAAAGTATACAAAGCATATACATTAATATCGAAACACAAAATTAAAAGTTTTGAACAATTTGAGCTTCGTGACTTTGTATAGACGTATAGGCCTAATGATTTAATTGTGCATGTTACATTCCACTGGAAGTCACCAAAATGAGCTTTTTTAAAAGTCTAGTGTGAGGCTCCAAGGCCATAACCCAAGCTAGTTTTTATATATAACATGTACTCATGCTATTCCATTCCGTGGATTCACGATTATCGCACATAGTAAATTTCCCCTTCAAATCCAATGACAAAATGCAATTCTAAAATTTGACTAAAAATAGTCAATTTCAACGACGTCTGTCAGGCCAATTAAAGCCTCCTGGACCATTCTATATTGATAACAGTGTTCTTTAATACTTGAATTATAGTCACTAAACTATCAGAACTATCTACGGGCAGTTTTGAATCCGTCGCGAAGTGATGAAATTGACCATGGCAACAACTTTGTCTGCAGCTAATTATAGCCTTCCGGAGACAAATTCTTGATTTCTGATATTTGTACGTTTATCGACCAAATATTGAATATCTAACCCAAACACCATTTATAACTAGGCATTACCTAAATTTAAGCAAAATATGAAAGAAATCTATTTTCTATCTATTGCCGCTGTTTGCTCGATTTTTACGGACAGTCTAAGAGCTAATTAGCCTACTTTCACAAAGATGCGGAGAAAAACAACAACAAAAAAGCTTGTCGGTATATGATGTAAAATTATATTGCTTTGTTTTGCAGGAATTTCAAGGAAACATCGATTCTACAACAATAGTGTTTCATCCATTAGAACCTGATGAAACAGCAAGATTTGTGCGTTTTTATCCTGTCAGCTATGTAACCAATGCCTGTATCCGAGTAGAGCTGTATGGTCAAAAAATGAGAAAGGGTTAGTTGAATTGAGAAACTGATATTTTCGTGCAGTTGATGAAGTTGAGTGTTAGATAGTTGGCTGTGATACACTGATGAACAACAGATTACAGGCGTAGCAGAGTCGTTTGTAACTATATAACTGGGGACCCAACA